AAAAAAAAAAAAAAACACCCCTGCACCGCAACATGCTCACACTTGTATGATAGCAACGCAACTGTTGTGTTATTTACTGATTAATATAAAGCAGTAGCCTATATACAACTGATAAACATTATAACCTATTTATTTTCTAATGTTTTTTTTTTTTTTTATTAGCCCAAGCATGCTTATTATTATTATTATTATTATAACCTCTCTTTATTTATTCAAAACTGCACACACACGACCAGTCCATATTATGTTAGGTGCTCATATTCGTGTTTTTACTGAAATGTTAAACCAGTTCGGAGAGATAAATGACCAGACGGTTACGGTCGGGTCAACCTTTCATTGGGCATCTGGTCACATCATAATGCAAATATGCAGACCTATGCACCTGCAGCACCTGCATGCAAATCAAAGCGTTTCTCTGTGAAAGAATAATGATGATGAAGCTGCTTCCAGACCTCAGATCAATCTGTGCCGGGCGCAGGTAGTTGGTCACGTGACGTCAAATCTATGAGTATTTTGCTCATCGTGCACTGTGGAGTTAAAGGAGCCAAAGAGGCGCATGCTCAGTGCGCACTGTCACCTGGGACCTGTTGCTCGGCTGCGGCCGTCACTGCCTTTGTTTTAGATTTTAAAGATGCTTCTCTTCATCCTTCATCTTTATGGACGTGTATGATTCGCTCCAGACCTGCTGTAACCAAGCCGGATGAAAACACTAAAACAAAAAGTGGACACCACAAGTCGCTGTGTCTTTTATCTCAGTCGGCTTAACCAACGAAGTACGGCCACACACTTGTAAGTAATGCTTTGTCTTCCATTAATTGACGAACAATTGTAAGAATGGCTGCCACTATATGGAAAATTATTACAAATTATTATGTTGTATAGGATATAGAGAAACAGAATGTTTCTATGAGATTGTTATTTGACTGTAGCAGTAAATATTTTACATGCAGTGGTCATTTAAAAAAAGAAAGAAGATAAAACATATATATATATATACTATATAGATAAAGGACCGATGAAGCCCTAATTAAATGTATAGCAGTCCAGGGCAAAATAATGGCAGTGTTTACCCAACTTTTAGGAGCTAAGGAAATAGGGAGTTATGTTACATGTTCCACACTGTGTCTACAGGGGCTGTGTGCCTACTTGCAGGTGGATACGGGATGATGCTCTGAGTGTGTAGACAAGAACAGATAATAACCCTCACTGGACCATCACCAAGGAGACAGGAACTCCAGAGGATTGCCTCAAGTGTTAGCTATAAAAATCTCCTAGGTAGACCAATGCTATCGCAGTGGTCTGAGTTCAGCGAGGGAGGGGGCAATTCTTTCTCTGCTATGATTATTTAAAAGAGAAAAAAAAATCTTATCTCTTTTATTTCCTATGTGTGTGCAGGTGTGTGTCGGATTTGTACACTACAGGCAATGGGCAAATGCTGCAGACGCAACGGGAGACTGCTGTGCATGTGCCTGCTGCCTTGCATGATGACCGGCCACCTTCTGGTTTATATATTGGTGTCCATATTCGTCACAATCTCCTACACTCCTCCGAAAATAACCGTCCACTATATTGCCCCGGGGATTTCTGCTAACTCCTCTGCGTTGGCCTCTCACCCACTTAGCCCTTTCTGGAACCTTCGACTGGAGGACAGTGCACTGTGGAACCAGTTGCAGCATGCTTGGGACCGTCAGCACAATCCAATACTGAGAGGAAACACAACTGGCATACTGAGGAAGCCAAAAGCTCAGTTTTTATCAGAAATCGAAGATGAATGCCTTTCTGACTGCATGTCTCACAAGTGTTCAGTCCCTCGCATGCAAGATTTAAACAGCTTGCCGGATCAAATGAAGGCATTCATCAAGTCAATGCACTGCAGGGAGTACCCCCTCCTTATCAATCAACCTGGTATGTGTAGGAGGAACAATAGCAGCTTTGGTCTGGATTCTCCCATGCTCATCATGGCCATCAAATCTCAAGTGGGAAACTTTGAAAACAGACAGGCCATCCGTGAAACTTGGGGACGCAGTGGGCTGGTGAAGGGTGCATCCAGTAAGAAAGGCGGATTAGTGCGCACAGTGTTTCTGCTTGGAAGACAGGACTCAAGCACGGGTCCTCACCCAGACCTAAAAAACCTCCTGGAGCTTGAAAACCAGAAATACGGGGATATCCTGCAGTGGGATTTCAGAGACACTTTCTTTAACTTGACCCTAAAGGATCTGGTGTTCTGGCATTGGCTCCAGGAATACTGCCCCACTGCCAACTTTGTGTTCAAAGGGGATGACGATGTCTTTGTTCGAACAGATGCCCTTCTGGATTACCTGCACAAGCAGTGGGAGGAGCACAACCTGTGGAGAGCCTATACAAATGAAACTAACATGGATTTGTTTGTGGGGGATCTAATCAATAACGCAATGCCAAACCGTGAGCCATCCACTAAATACTACATACCAGAACGTTTCTACAAAGGCGCGTACCCGCCGTACGCTGGTGGAGGAGGGGTGGTGTATTCTGGCTCACTAGCGTTACGTTTGAAAGAGGTGTCTGAGAGAGTGCGCCTCTTCCCAATAGACGATGTGTATCTGGGCATGTGCCTGCACAGACTCGGGCTCTCTCCAATCCACCACCCGGGATTTTTAACATTTGATCTCCCAGAGACAGACAGGGGCAATACCTGTGCTTACAAGTCTGTTCTGCTCGTTCACAGACGGAGTCCCAAGGAGATGCTGACACTATGGAAGCAGCTCCAGAATCTGCCCAGTCAATGCTGAGGCTCATTTGCCTGCCAAATAGGATACATTGAGCACCACTGCGCTCATTTGGAAAACGTGTGCATCTTTGTGACTTCATCTTCATGTCAAGCAGGCGGTACCTTATGAAGGTCATATACAAAGTACTGTACCTTTCTTCCGATGAGTTTGTAACACTGAGGAGAACACTGATCTACCTCAAAGGTACTTTTATTATGAGGGGATCACACAGTACGGGCACACACATGGTACTTTTTAAATCAGTACAGGTATGCATTTGTACCCTTTCAATTTAAAGAACATTTTATTTTACTACCTTTTGAAGAAAATATACCTTACATGTTGTTTCATAATATTTGAAGAGAATACTTTAGATATCTTTGTACTATGCTAGAAATTGTCACAATTACTATAGACAAAACGCTACAATGATTATTTTTTTCTCATCTGTTATTGAGAATGAAATGACCGACTCAGGTAATGTTATTCAGTTAACTAAGATTTTGGAGGGGGGCACTCTGATAGCTCACCTGGCATGGCTAGTGCACCAGGTACCAAGGCTGAGTCCTTGCTGCAGCGGCCATGGGATCAAATCTGACATGTGGCCCTTTGCTGCATGTCATCTCCCCTCTATCTTCCTCATTCCTGTCTATTTTGAGCTGTCTAATCAATGAAAAAGGCATAAAGCCCCAAAACTAGGGAGATGCTTTTTTTGCTGTCCTCATGGGCTCCACCAAAATAAATGATGATGCTCAAGGGTAAATAAACGTTTGTCTCTAAAAACATAATTTTATTGAATATCCTAATTTATTTATTTTGCTTATGGCATTATAATGCAATTCTGTTTAGGTTGCAACAATATTTAAAAATAGGATTTAACTCCAGCCATGAAAATTAAGGCAAAGCATTACACAGCTCACAAGCCACCAGCTTTGCAACAACAGCCCATTAATCAAATCTAAGTGATTATTTAGTAATTACAGTCTAATCTTTGTAAATTGTATGAAATCAGCCATGGAGCTGCATCATAATACAGTACACTAATGAAATCCACAGTTGTGTGTATCATAAAAAGATACTGAAGAGAGTATTTTATACTCCACTTCAGTCATGGTCACAAAAAAGTGCACTGGATTGCATGTGGCTGTTTAAACAAAGATAAATGATGTGAATTTCCATCTCTGCATTATGCTTTTGGTTATTTGGCTATTTCTACATACACAGGGGTCTGTGCATGTTTGGAGGCAGATTAAAAGGCAAAATGTTTGTTTGTGACTATTAACAAGGCAAGAAATTAATTATTATATTTACCAAGACAAAAGTAAATATATTTTGCATCTGTTTTAGCCAGACAGAGTCATTAAAACAAAAGAAACTACGAGAACAAACTACATTTGCCCTGCTGGAAGACCAATGGGAGGAGATCGGAAATGAGACCACAAGAGATGAATCTCCTCCAGGGAGAATGTAAGAAGAAAAACACCAACAAAAAGATAAGACACAGACTGCCATTGTATTCTAAAACAGTAAATTATAAGTCAAACAGTAATTCTTAAATTACAAAGGTGAAATATGTTTAGAGAACTGAATGCTTCCCTTCTCTGCTCCCTTCTCTTTATTGTATTAAAACCTATTCTTGTCTGGTCTCTATACTTGATTTTAGCACTAATGGCAGACAGTGGCTTCAGATTAATGTGGTTACAGAAGAAGATAAGTGTATCTAAGAACCATAGGAGAAAGAATATTGAGCTGCTGAGCATTAAAAGGAAATGGAGTGTTGGAGGCAAGGTGAAATATATTTTGATGTTAAATGTAACTACATACCAAAGCTACTTTGAACAGTTTTTAATGCTTTCTGTCTTTTTATCTGGACAAATTGGACAAATAAAATCAAAACTAGTATTTAAAAAAGGGGGGTACCATTGTAGGTAAGGGATTACAGCTGTTTGGGTGAATGGATACCTTAATTTAAAGACACGACTTTGAGTGACATCTAGTGTTAAAGTCCTGCAAATACAGGGGGGTTCCTGAAGACACAGGAATGATCCAGTGACTTTGGCACTCCTGAGTAACAGCCCCACCCAGTGGAAGGCTCCCGTCTCCTCCAGATCTTGTGTTGAAGTTGGTATTCTTGCCTCAGCCCGACTGCTGCGGAGCTCCTGTAGGTTTCTCTGCAGTTAGATCCTGCTGGTGGAGCAGAGGTTTGACCTCTGGCCACAGACTGCGTACAGGCCAGTACGAGTCCATGAATGGACCTGAAGGCGACTGGAAATCCATGAGAGCACACGCATCAATTCACTGTGGTGTTTAGTGTTGGAGTCCTCTTGTTGTGAGATGAACCGCTGTTAAAGTGTCTTGTTCTTTCCTGTGTTGCTTTCTGTCTCAGCAGTGGGAACTGTTCTCAGCTTTTTATTATTCTGACTGGAGGAGCTCCAAGAGGCTTCAGGAAGTTTCCGTCATTACCACAGCTCTCAACTGGGTGGGGCTTGTTATTC